GAAGGAAGGAAGGAAGGAAGGAAGGAAAAAGACCAGGCTTACTGGTCAGAAAGAGACTAGAAGAACCTGAGAAAAACCATCCTTTAGGTCTGGAAAGAACTCGCCCTCATGGCCCAACTTTCAGCCAAGCAGTAGAGAGGGATAGAGGGGAACACCACCACTAGTAAGCTATGTTCACCATGAAAGATGGAACGGTCAACAATTCAACCTCAAAGGGGCAACATTTTCCTGAGGACAAAGTTGGGAAGGGATGGGAAGGTGAGAGCAATGGAAATAGGGACAACAGGGAGGCAATGGGATAGCTCCTGTGGCATGAGGGGGATTTCAAACATTACGATGAAACCAAGTGTATGATTTATTGCATGCAAAAGTGATGATCTTGTCTGTAAACCTTCACTTAATTCACAAGAAAAAGTTGAAAAAAAGGATACCTAGAATGGGAGGTAGGGGTGAGAGGTAGAGGAAGGAGACTTTGAGGGATGTCCCACACTTTTAAATAGGAGAACAAAACTAATGGTCACTATACAATTCAAGTGTGAAGTCTCATGAGATGTTCAAAGGAAAAGGCAGAGTAGGTGTAGGCTTATGAAGCTTCCAGTGAGTTTCCATGAGTTAGATGTTTGATGGCCAGAGAACTAGGAAGCAGTAAGCAGAGTATGCACACATTTGTAGTCGAACTAACCCACTTGTTACCAAAACTTGTTACCAAACACTTTTCATAGCCAGCCAATGGAAGCACAGAAAAACTGATAGTGACAATTACTTACACTGAAAATTCTAAGACTATTGAGCAGGCCAGGGTAATAAAGCATGGTAACTTTTAGTAATATGTGATATTGTTGTATCATATTGGGATAGCTACTTGGACTTTACATTTAGTTTCTAAAGGCTCTCTGATAAAAGAAAGATCTATCAAGAAAAGGAACACAAAAATTTAATGTATTGTTGTGTTTGGGGAGAAACTGAAATTTATTACAATTAATGTTTTGCTTTTTTATTTTTTCATCTACTCGGAACCTTCCTTTGTGCTTTTAAAAAATTTGAAGTATGTTATCGCCCAACAAAAACCTGAGTAATTATACACAAAACTGACATCTCAGTTTTCTTTTCTTTTGTAAATGTATTTCCATTTTAATCTTTCTGTGGATCATTCAGATATGATCTTCATTACATGAACTGATATTTGAATAAGTTTCTTAAACAATTGTCTTTACTTCTGCAGCATTTCAACAGATTATTCTAGGCAGAGCACATTTTTTTAATAGTCATGAAGTAGACTTACATTGTCAGTGAAAACAACTCCTAATTTCCACATCTGATACTTCACATCAATAGAGTTCAATCTAGAAGAAGACAAGAAGAAGAATTTACAGATAAGTACATTAATCGAAAAGTTACAGGCTTACCAGCATTCTCTTTCATGGGACAATAATGGGAACCATCTGAGCACTATTTCAGATTCCATATCTTTCTTTTACAATTTACTCCCAAGTTTTGTGATGGTTGCTAGGCAGAACTTTGGAAAGCAAAACACACCACCACCACTTTCTTTGTTACTTAAGAATAATCTTTTCTCTTTACCCTGTCCTTTCCTAAATTAAATTTAAGTTACACTTACCTTACATATGGGATTGATTCTTGGAAACAACAAAATCAATAATCACGTGTGTCTCAAAGTTTTTCTCACTAACTTTCATAATATATTTGGTTCTGCAGTCCAACAGATTCATTTTTTTGGTTCAAATAAGCATGCAAATGTACATGAAAGTTCACATTTGTTTTATAAATAGATTCATTTTCCAATGAAAGTGTTTCTCGTTTTGGTTTTACTTCATTTTTATTTTCAGAAATTTCACTTTTCCACTTTCTTCTCCATCTAGATAGGAGTATCACCATCCTCCTTGGTTCCCATAGCACTTTGCACATGTGTAGCATTGTGGGTTACTGCCCTTGGACTGCAAAGTCAGGTTGAACTTCAAAGTCAGCGGTTCAAGCTCACCTGTCGCTCCTAGGAAACCCTATACAGGGATCACTATGGGCTGGAACCGAGTCGACGGCAACAATGTACATTGTCACTCACTTCCAAGGTTGTTGTGTAGTTGTGTGTGAGTATGTGTGAGTGTGGCCCACCAGCATGAACTTCTATTCTAAGCACAATACACATGGATGATTCTCAGTAAATACGCTGAATTCATTAACTGCAATATAAACATTCATTTGCAGATTAGCATCTACATATACTAAAACACCTTTTACAATTTCGACTTCTTCAAAATTTGCCACTGATTTACGGACCAGAAATTACGACCTTGCTAGCTAGCCCTTGCAATAACTAATGTGAAACACTCTAATACAATATGATGTGACAAAAAAAAAAAAAAAAAAATGTTAGTATTATTTTCAAACTAGCCGCTCTAGGCTTAATGTTTTGGTCTTTGATTACTTTCTTCATCATTAATTATAATTAAAAACAAAAAATCAAACCTATTGTCATAGAGGAGTGGAACACAACTGCCCCACCGAGTTTCTAAGACAGTAATCTTTTTTAAGTGTGATTTGGCTGAAAGTTTGCCAAGCAAGTTACTTTTGCATTTACCAGTTAGTACACATTTGGTTTTGTAACACTGGTTGCAAGCACAACATAAGAGCACTGTGTGTTTAGCAATTCCCTTTGTGTAATTTCCTATCTCTTCCTGTCCACTGAGCTTTATCCCACAGCAAATGCTGCCCTTTTGATACTGTATCACTGATTGTTCTAATGAGTGCATGCCTAGGATTGTTTACCTTACAGATCTATCGTATCAAAGTCCTGGTGTAGTGCTGTGCTGGACGGCAAGGTTGTTGGAATCGCAAGGCCAGTGAATGAAGCTCACCAGCCACACTCCACGGAAATCCTATACAGGGTTGCTAAGAATTGGAACTGACTTAACAGCACTTAACAACAACAACAATATTTGGCTTAAAATTGAATAATGAGGGTGAGTGTGTTTCCAGGCCTGAATGGTGACTAACGGTCATAATCTCAGGGGTTCCACCAATTTCTATCAGACCAGGAGACCTGTTTTATTATTATTATTTTTAATTTTGTCCCACATTTTTCTCCTCTTGTGATCCTTTTCAGAGTGGATCAACAGTGGTAGCCAGCCAGCATCTAGTTCTTCTGGTCTCAGGGTCATGGACCAGGGGGTTCATACAGTCTATTAGTCCTTTGGACTAAGTGTTTTCTTGGGTCTTTTTTTTCACTAGTATTTGCTCTGCACCGGGAGAGACCAATACTTATACCTCAGATAACTGCTGATCAAAGGAAGATGGAAAACGTTGTCTTTGTGAACTCTGTAATAAAGTTGAACTTAGTGGTCCCCAAGACTATGATCTTGAGCTCTCAGGCCCAGAGACTCATATCCACAATATATTTGGTTATGGCTAAGACGTGCTCATAACTTTGTCCCCTGTAGGCTCTGCTATATTCATAGATATAGTTGCAACATATGTGGAAATATCCTGTTAAACCTTCATGGTTGTAGACCCATTAACCCTACTACTCCTGTTCTGTGTGTCTGTCTATGTCTCCACTCTTAGATTACTGCTGTTACAGTCATTACATGATTTATATAAGTAATAAAATGGATTAATTACAGATCAGGACATTTTATTTCTTAAAGACATCTGGGGCTAAGCTAACATAGATGAATCTTTGTTGCCTTTAACTCTTGTGCTATAATTTTTACAATATTTATAGAAGCAGGCTGCTGGAACTTTCTCCCACTAAGTTGCTGGTTGGTACCCTTTGCAGGTCACTGTGCCATCAGGATCCCTGTTCTTTTAATGAGGCTGATACTAATTTATAAGGGCCTAGGTCAGTTTGAACCACAAGATCTGCAGTTCAAACTCACCAGTCACTCCTCGAAATCCTATACAAGGTCACTATGATTCGGAATCAACTCAACAGTACTTAGCATGAAGAAATAGTTGCAAATCAAACTTGACCTTTTAAGGAGACTTTTGTTCTCTACGGGTTAAAGTCTCATTTAGCTCAATCCTGGATTTTTAAAGAAATAATATTGCCTGAGCTAGAACTTTTATTTTTCTAATGGCACTTTTAAACAATGTTTACAGTAGGTTTCAATGAAATGATAGTTTTGCTTACACAACATCAAAGAGATGGGCAACTAATGAAACTGTGACCATGTGCTTATGTGCGAGCACAATTATTTAACATGGGAGCAATCTAAAACCAAGTGTGAGCTGATTGTCATGATGTCTAATCTCTCTTGGCAGTTTATTCTTAGTTGTTTTTCACCCCTTTCATCTGCTGCAAGATTGGTGCTTCAAACCCATCAGTTGCTTTTCTGAAATGCTACACTGGGTGGCTTTGAACAGGAATCGATTCAATAACATATAATAACAACAAAAACATACTAGGGACTGTATGTAGGTGTTTGGAGGTCTGGTATGGTGCCACAGGACAAGTACTGAACTGGTAACCACAAGGTTGGCAGTTCAATCCCATCAGCCACTCTTGGAATAAATACTATTCAGGGTTGCTATGAGTTAGAACCAACTTGACGGCATACAACAATAGTATGTAGGTGCTTGATTGGTAATTAAATATACGTATAAAAATAAATAAGTAAGCCATGTTGTTGTTGTTAAGTGCCATTGAATTGGTTTCAACTCAGAGCGATCCTGCAAAGGGTGAGTGAGTTTGAACCGCTGACTTTGTGATTCAAAACAACCTTGAGGTCCAGTGCTTTATTCCACAGCACACATCAAGACTTTAGCCATCACACTGTTGTTGTTGTTGTTAAGTGCCACAACAGGACTCCAGCTATTCGATGAAGGGTGAGTTCATTAAATATTTGACCAAATATAGCAGGCTAATTAGCTGCTCTGCAATAGGTATTAAAAGAAAAAGAAAAAATCTAAATATAAATGATGCACATCACTGGGGAGAAGATTTACCAGGAGTGTCCCTTTACTAAATCACTTAGAAAGATTGAGTTTTAAGAGATGATTTGGTTTCCATGTGAGTTTCACCTTAATATAACCATTTATTTACAAGTATGACCTGGAAGAAATTATTCATGCATCCAAGTTGAAAGGCCATAGATACATTCATCACATCAATTTCTTGGTATTTTCCTAGGGGTCAAATTTACATATATCCCCTATGTAAATCAATAGAAATAGCACCAATTTAAAGGTAATTATTCAGAATAAAAACAGTCTAAAATACTCCATTTCTTCAGAGTTGTTTAGTAGAGTCACAATACGATCATGGAAAATGCAATAAATCAATTCTACATTGTTCATCAGGGATCTGAAATTCTAGTGAGCAGCTCAGTTCCACTAAATGAGTGCCACCCACGCATTGCCACAGAATCGATTCCAACTCAGAGAGACTGCGCAAGAGTCTCCCAGGTTGTAATCTTTACAGAAGCAGATTGCCACATCTCTGTCCAAGGTGCTGCTGATGGGTTTGAACACCAACCTTTTGGTTACTAGCCAACTGTTTAACCACTATGCCACCAGGACTCTCTTATATCACAGTTCTCATAATATTTAATAGTTCAGATAAGGAACTTGGCTCTGTGGTTCTTCTTACATACAGTGAGACAGTATTTAAGTACTACCTCTGTTTTGTTTTAATTCAGTTTCTGTTATATTATTACTTATATGACTATCTTTCAACTGGCATCAAAATATATTTTAAAGATATAAATCAGGAAAAAAAATATGACTAATGAGACAGGTGATCAAAATTATTTAATGATAGCAATAATATTTACCTAGGAAAAAATAAAGACATATTTATAGATTCATAATTATGATTCCAAGTAAACAGCATATTTCTAATTGAATAAGAGCCTACATAACACAAATTAAAAAGATCAACATGATTTTAAGGGAAGGATACTTCCTTCTAAAATTGCTAAACAACTACAATAATAAATTATTTTAAGTCAGCATATTATATTTATCCTAGACTTTCAGCTAAAGAAATTTGCAAATA